GAGAGAGAGAGAGAGAGAGAGAGAGAGAGAGAGGAAGAGAGAGAAGCGTGTGTGGAGAACACGCTATTCTCGCTTTGCCTTTACCCTCACTGTAACTGCTTCCATAGAGCTTAAGGGTGAGTCCATGGGTTAAGCTTTTTTTCTCACTCCTTTTTACTCTCTCTTTCTCTGTTTTGCTTGATGGGTTTTCTCTCTTATCTCTTCCTCTGTTACTCTTGGTTTCTCTCTCTTCTAATGCTTCTTCTCCCTTTTAGAGAGAGAGATCAGATCTGAAGGTTTTGGACTTGTTTTTGCTCCTAATTATATTTGCAGGGTCTGTTGGTTAGAGAGAGAAAGATGTTGCCTCAAAAGCAAGCAGAGGAGGCCATAGTGGCGACCTACAACGAAACAGAAGTCGATGGGAAAGAGGAACAGAGAGAAGACAACTCGAAATTCAGCATGAAGAATATCTTATGGCATGGCGGCTCTGTCTATGATGCCTGGTTCAGTTGTGCATCAAACCAGGTGAGAGAAAGAAAGCGGTTCCCTCCTTTTTCTTCAGTGATCCTTCTAGAGAGAGAGCCAACACCACACTGATTTTTCCCCCAAAAACCACACGGTTTCTTCATTCACTGAAAGAGGAAGTTTTCCCAATCTCTTTAGAGAGAAAACCTCGGTGAATTTAGTATGAGATTGTATAAAATTTCACATGGGTTTCTTTCACTGTTTTCAACAGAACTTCTTCCATCTTTTTCAGAGAGAGAAAGCAGATGAAATTAGCGTGTAATTGCTCAGAAACCATGAGTTTTTCCCCATTGCTTCACAGTTATTGTTTTTGGATCCTTTTAGAGAGAGAAAGCAAACTTTACATGGGTTCTGTTGATTGATTTGTCATCTGAGTGGGGAAATTTGGAATTGGGTTTTTTTTCTCTCTACAATTGCAGGTGGCCCAGGTTTTGCTGACGCTTCCATACTCATTCTCGCAATTGGGGATGCTTTCTGGGATCCTATTTCAATTATTTTACGGCTTCATGGGGAGCTGGACTGCGTACCTAATCAGCGTCCTCTATATCGAATACCGGAGCAGGAAGGAAAAGGAAAACTATAATTTCAAGAACCATGTCATTCAGGTACACCCCCTTCTCTCTCTAGATTACGGAGAGAAGAGAACTTCTTTTCTTTGTTTTTTCGACCTCAACGGGAATCTCAACTATTTGGTGCTTGAAACACAGAGCTTCTCTCTCAAAGTGGTTTAGAGAGAGAAAGCAAAGGAATTTGCTTCTTAATTCACAAACCAAATCCCCTCTCTCTCTCTCTCTCTGTGGGATGGGCAATAGAAAATGAACCTTTTTTTTTTTATATCAAAACCCATATTCTCTTTCTAATGACGTTTCTCTCTCTCTAAAATTCTCTCCCAAAAACACTTTCTCTCTCTGAAATGACCGAATTTGTGATTGCAGTGGTTCGAAGTTTTGGATGGGTTATTGGGTCATCGGTGGAAAGCCATTGGCCTCGCCTTCAACTGCACTTTTCTGCTCTTCGGTTCCGTTATCCAACTCATCGCCTGCGCAAGGTACACCCTCATTTAATTTTAGTTTCTCTCTCTAAACCCATCACAATCTCTTGAATTATTGTACATATATTCTCTCTCTAACCCATGTGAGTCTCTCTTCATCTTTCAAGTGTTTGGAACGTGGATTTATCTCTGTTTCACTTCTCTTGACAATTGACACTTTCTCACTCTATCAAGTGGGATTTCCTCTCTTTCTCGCTCCACATGAGCTTCTCTCTCTTAATTTACTCTCCTCTATGTGGGTTTCTCTCTCTTAATTGTTTTCTCTTAACTTCCTCTCTCTGATATGAGGTTCTCCTTTCTCTCTCTGAAAACAACAGCAACATATACTACATCAACGACCGGTTGGACAAGAGGACCTGGACTTACATATTTGGAGCCTGCTGCGCGACCACAGTCTTTATCCCCTCTTTCCACAACTACCGAATTTGGTCCTTTCTCGGTCTAGGAATGACCACCTACACAGCATGGTACTTGACAATTGCAGGCCTCATTCATGGTCAGGTAATAAAATCAACCTCACTTTGTGTTTGAGCAATTTCTCTAAGAGGGACTTTCTCTCTCCGATTCCCTTTTCTTGTTTGTGAACCAAATATGTTCTCTCTCTCTCTCTCTACTTTCCTCTGGTTTTTTTCTCTCGGGGAGGTATGGGTACAGACTTTTATTTCGTCAGCAACTACTAGATAAGGTGCCTTTAATGGCAGTATACATTTTCTCTCTCTAAGTTCTTGTCCACCACCTATTTCTCTCTCTCTCTCTATCTCCAAATTAAACACCCTTCTCTCTCTAGCATACTGTAAATAATCACCATCCTCTTCCTCTGTACAAATCTCTTTCTATATGGGCCACTTCTGTCTCTCAGGACTTCTTATTGTACTCTTTCTCGCACAAAAAACCATTGATAAATTGTTTCTTTCTCGCTCTAAAAACCATCGATTGTTGTTTCTCGCTCTAAAAACTATTGATAAACTGTTGGTGCTACAATTGACAGGTGGAAGGTGTGAAGCACTCGGCGCCCTCTAAGCTGGTGCTCTATTTTACAGGCGCCACCAACATTCTCTACACTTTCGGTGGTCACGCTGTAACAGTGTAGGCTCCTGTTTCTCTCTCTACTCTGCGGCCTTATCCATGTTTACCTTTTTCCTGCCATATTTTCTTTCATTTTCTTAGATTTTTCATTCTTTTCAATTTCTTTTTGGATGAGATGATTGACGATAATGCCCTTGTTTCCGGCAAGTACGACCGTAAACATCCTCATACAACTCTGGGAGGACAAAGACGTCACTGGATTTTTCGAAAGTGTCCAATTTGCCCGCGTCTTTTTCTTGCAAAAGCCGGCAAGACACGGGATTTTCCCGCTAGGGCAAAAAGGGAAAGTTGAGGTGGCTTTAAATTTTTTTTTTTCCCCCTCTTAAGAGCAACTTACCATTCTACTTATGAGAGATCAGTAAATTTATATTTCATCTGTATTATTTAATTTAATTTTAAAATACCCATCAAAATGCACATTATCATGATTTGAAATAGTTAAAAATGTATAAAGTTTTAAATAACTCTCTTGGGTATTTTGTTTTTTTTGTTTTCTACAATTATCACTTATTTGATAAATTTTAATTTTCTAAGTAATAAACTAAAATATCTATTTTTTTTAATGTTAAAAATTAAAAAATCTATTTTTCATGGGCTTCATTTCATTATATTCTTTTGGGAAATTAAATTCTCATAACAATTTGACACTTTACCCACATCTTTTGATTTAATTTCAAAATACCCATCAAATGGGCAAAATGTTAAATACTTCATCTTTAATGGATATCTTGATAAATTTTCCTTTTTTTTTAAAATAAAAAGGCTTTTAGAGGGAGTAGGATTCGCTACATTTTTTTAATTTATCCTTTATTTTGTTAATTGTTTTCTTAAAAAATTGTCAATGAATTAGAACATGTATTTCAGAAATTGATTATTGAGTTGTTAGATATGTGAAATGGACACGCGCAATGACGCACTACATTCACAGTAAGTATTATACACTAAAAACACATTAACAATTATTTTTCTTTTTAAAATCTAATTACAAAAGTAATTAGAAGTGACCTAGATTCCTACATCGATATTACATGTGTCTTGTATCTAAAATGTCAAATTTAAATTGTGTTATTTCCGACACTTGTATCTGTGTCGCACACCTAAACCATCTTTATAAGTTGAGTAATTAGTAGGCGATTCGTTTGTATTTTTTTAAAACAAAAAAGATTTTGCAGGGAAATTATGCATGCTATGTGGAAGCCACAAAAATTCAAATCCATATACTTGTTGGCGACACTTTATGTCTTCACCTTGACACTTCCATCTGCTGCTGCTATGTATTGGGCCTTTGGTGACTTGCTACTCAACCACTCAAATGCTTTCTCTCTTCTCCCCAAGACTCGCTTCCGTGACAGCGCAGTCATCCTCATGCTCATACATCAAGTACTCTCCTTTCTCTCTCTAAAAATTTACTCTTATCGTGTGTAGTTTTTTCACGTACTCCCCCTTTCTCTCTCTAAAAAATGACTCTTATCTTTGGTGGTATTTCACATTATCCCCCTCTTTCTCTCTCTTAAATTTATTCTTCCTATTTGTTGTGTATCTATTTTAAGTGTTCCATGAATGGCATTCATTAATTGTGTGGGTTTCTTTTCGCTCTGGTCTTGTTTTCCTTATTTGTTTCTTGTCCGTTTTAGTTTTTTTTGGTGAATTCATGTTAGCAAAATTTTGAGATTCACTGAAATTTGTGCATTTTTGCATCAAGCTTTCTCTCTCTCGAGTCTGAACCGTTGCAACAGGTGGGATTTGGACCGTTTCTCTAACTGATTTCTCTCTCTCTCTCTCTCTCTAGTTTTTATGGTGAATTCATGTTAGCAAAATATAAAGATTCACTGAAATATGTGCATTTTTCTATCGCCCTCGCTCTCTCTAGAGTCTGAAAAACCATTGCAAGAGGTGGGATTTTGGACAGTTTCTAAACTTCCATTCCCAAAAAAAACCTCTTGTTAACCTCAACGAAAAATCTCCTTTTTCTCTAACTGAATTTTCTCTCTCTCTCTCTCTCACCTTGTCTTGTATCTCTTTTAAGAGTTCGTTCTCTCTCATACCTTGGCTTATATCTATTTTAAGAGTTCGTCGCATTAAGCTCAGTAATCTGCACTCATTTCTCTCTCTCTCTCTAAGTACTCATGAGCTATCTCTTTCTCTCTCTAATTACTCATGAGCTATTATGTTTGCTGGGTGCAGTTCATTACATTCGGTTTTGCTTGCACTCCTCTCTACTTTGTGTGGGAGAAGGTGATTGGAATGCATGATACAAAGAGCATTTGCCTGAGGGCATTGGCTAGGTTACCTGTTGTGATCCCCATCTGGTTTTTGGCCATTATTTTCCCCTTCTTTGGCCCTATCAATTCAGCCGTTGGTGCCTTGCTCGTTAGCTTCACTGTCTACATCATCCCTTCCTTGGCCCATATGCTCACCTACCGAAAGGCCTCCGCACGACAGGTGAACCCACTTTCTCTCTCTAACTTTTTTTTTTTCTCTCTCTCTAACTCTTTCTTTCTCTCTCGATGGGTCACTATCTCTCTCTAAGCACATTCACTCACTGATTTGGGCTTCTGTTTTTTAGCGGTTTCCCTCCATGTGTGGACGTTTAAGAGTTTTGGAGTGAGAGATAAAAGCCATGTCGTTTTTCTTTCATTCTCTCTCTAGGCGCACTCGCTCTTGGGCTTTGGTTTTTAGCGGTTCCTCCTTTGTGTGGACTCTGGCCTCTAGTGGTGAGGATAAAACCTACAGTTGCTTCTACTCTCTCTCTCTCTAAAAAAGCTCACCCAATCACTGCTGCTCTGTTTTCTAGCGGTTCTCAGTTGTGTGGACCTTCTATCTCTCTCTCTTTCTCTAAAACCAAGTTCGCTTTCATCTCCCACCTCTCTCTCTCTCTTTCTATTATGGAGGCTAAAACCCATCGGTCTGCATCCAATTTAACTTCGAATCACTACTCTCTCTCTCTCAGTTAGAAGTGCAAAGTTTCGAGTTTCAACCACCTTTCTTTCTCCAACTGTGAGAAGTCCAAAGTGTCCGCCATTTCTATAAATGGGGGATGCAAATTCCAAAGTTTCAACCACTTGTCTCTCTAGTGCAATGGAAAATAGTAATCCGAAGCACGGTTCTAGAAATCCAACCGTACTGGCCAAAGGCCGGGTCAAAGTTACAGGTAAACCAGCCGGTTCAATCGGCTTTAACGGTACAAGTCTCGGCGGTCGAAATAGTATTTTAAAAAATAAAAAAATATATGAGAAGTATATGTAAAGCTTGATTTAACAAATGGTGCAGTTAGCACATTGATGCATCCGTAAAGTGCACCTTCAAATTTTATCATGGCATATAATTTTTATGTAAAATGTTTTAGGATGATCTCAAAATCTATTTTATATCTAATTATTGAATTTGAAATTTTTAAACTGGTTAAAATCAAGTAGATCTATATATGTATGAAAATCTAAAAAATGGACGGTGTAGATAATATGTTGTAAAATACACTATTTTTGGTACTTAAAAATCTTTTTATTTTTCATAGTCATGCATCTCGATGTCGAGATGATCAATCAAAGGGTTTTTCAATATTAAAACTACCTTTTTCGATGGAATTTTTAGGGCATCTGTAGTTCTACATTATAAGGTAGCATCATTGTATAAACGTTTTCCCAAAACACATCCAAAAAGTTGAAAATTAGTGAAAAAATAGATTTTAAAAAATAAATTTGTGCCTAGGGGTTTTATAATTTTTCAAAAAAAAAAAGAAAATGTATAAATAAGTATTCATGACCAAAGCACTTTCCAATTTTTCCTAAAATGATAAAAATCATTCAAAAACATATTACAAACGAATCTCTTATTTATGTGGAAATTTTTATTAAAAAAAAATTAAATATCCGGCCAGACACTAAAACCGGTCAAACCGGATCAGCTGAGTGCTCCGTTCCCGTTTGACCAGCTGGTTCTGTGTTGAAGTGGCGACTGAGTTTGCCAACGGTGCTCCAATGTCCATACCAACTCTCTCTCTCTCTCCCTCTCTAAGTAATAATATGTTGGTCTCTCTCTCTTTCTCTCTCTCAATGGAAGATAGTACTCCAAAGTCTCTCTCTAATTAACAGTCTGTTGCTCTCTCTCTCTTTCTAATTAACAATATGTGGCCCTCTCTCTCTCTTTCTCTCTCTAATTAAGGATTTTGTGTGTGTTTGGCAGAATGCTGTAGAGAAGCCTCCATTCTTCTTGCCTAGCTGGACGGGAATGTACATTGTGAATACATTTGTGGTGGTGTGGGTTTTCCTTGTGGGCTTTGGTTTTGGGGGTTGGGCCTCAATGACCAATTTCATCCGGCAGGTCGACACATTCGGCCTCTTTGCTAAGTGCTACCAATGCCCCCGTCGAACCTCCCCTCCTCTCCCCCACCATTAGCACTCTCTCTCCCTTTCTCTCTCTCTCTCTCTCCCCACAATCATTTCCTCTCTCCTCCATACTCATTCCCTCTCTACCCCACCACTACCCTCCTCTCTCTCTCTCTCTCCATGCTTTCTCTCTCTACTCCACCACCGGCTCCCTACCTTCTCTCTCTACTTATACAAATCTTATCTCTACTCCGACTTTTTCTCACACTTTTCTCTCTCTTCTTTTCCCTTGCTTTCCTTCTACACAATCTCTCTCTAGGTTTAACCTCCGTAGCCTTCCTACCCCTTTACACCTCTCTCCTCGACCTATTTGTTTTCCCTCTTTCTCTCTCTAGGCATAAGCCAGTCATCCCCTCTCTCCATCTTTCCTTCCTCTCTAGAAAGAAACCAACAATCACATTCCTCTCTACACATCTTCTCTCTCTAGAAACCCCTCCCAACTCTCTCTCTCTCTAGATTGTAACATAAACAGTGGTAGCATTCCTATTTTGTTCCTAGGGTTTGTGATGCTTGAATGATTCTCTTGCAGGGAGCTTAAAAAAAAAAAAAAGTTAAAATTAGGGGGCTCCTTCCCTCTCTCTCTCTCTAAATTTGTGGGGCTTTCTTCTCTCTCTAAATTTTATATCGTTGTGTGCTTAGTTAAGGGGGTTCATAATTATTACTAAGCCCATTTACAATTTGTCTTGAAGAAAACGCTGACCACGTGTCATGAATCTGGCTTGGCACGTGGATTAAAGTTTGGCTTTTTGACTTGGTGTGGGCCCGTTATAATGCACATGGTGTCGCATGTGAGGCCCATGTTTTTGTAAGAAAGGCTTGTTCTTCTGTTTTTATTAATCTAATTAAATTCAGAATTTCAGGTTTTATTTATATGGCTGTCGCATGCGTCGTATTTTAGGTTTTTTTGTGTGTGGAATGCGTATATGATGCTCAATAGGAGCATGTGTACATCTACTCCCTTGGTTAGAATATATACATACTCTTGAAGATTATTTTTTTTTTAAATAAATTTTTTGGGAAATATATACTTTGAATTTTGAGTTTTCTAACACTTAGATCTCGCTTTCTAAATATGGGAAAAGCTTCATATAAGGTTGCAACTTTAAAATGTAGGAAAAAGGAATGATTCAAAAATCTATCAAAATATGGTGAAAAACTCTCTAATTGATCATCTTGGCCATGAAGATGTACAGACGTAAGAAAAAAAAGAGATTTACACTATAAAAAATGGTGTATCTTGTAATATATTATCTGGACCGAGCAATTTTCAAAAGTTCCTTGTGTTTTTAGATTTATTTGAAATTTCAATGTGTTTTTGGATTTGAAAGATCTGTATCGTTTTTTGAGTCATAAATTTTATAATAAGATGTGAATTAGGTTTTTTGGTCATCATCGAAACTTCTAACACTACAATTACATCTTTAAAGACCTTTTGGTGGTGTGCTTTAATTGGATTGTTTAAGGTTGAGACCTTTTACAAACCACACCCTCTAAATATTGGATAGGTTGTGCTCAATATTGACATCTTTTTTTTTATCTCGGTTTCCATTCCTATCAATGTACCCTTTTTTAAAAATATTGGTGGTTTCAAAAAAAAAAATGCTAACCCATTACTAATAATTAATATTTTAAAATAAAAAAAAAAGACTTTTTTTTTCAAGTATATAGGGAGTGTACTTATCAAATATTTTTTTTATTGGGATTATCTTATGGTTTGAAGAGGTTGCATCCCCAAATTTTAGGGGTCTAAAGTTAACCTCGAATTGGGTGTTAACTATTAGAGTGAATGGACAGTATACTCCCATGGGAATATGAAATCTTTTGGCTTTTATTTTAGTGGGTTTCTAAAGGACATTTAAGTGTTCACATGGGAATGGCTTAAAACCACATGGCAATGGTGTTATTTACGTTTTTTTGTTTAATGGTTATTTTTATGTGTTTGAAGGGTATTTTTTGGGTTTTTTAAGAGTATTTTTATTGTTTTTTAATGATATTTTGAAGACGTTTTTTTAAGGTTATTTTATTGTTCATATGGAAGCCGACCCGTAATTTCATTGTCACTTTGGATTGTGCTTTTTCTTTTTTTTTATTTGTTTTATGGTTTCTTTTTCCTTTTGTGTCGTGGCTTTTTTATTGTGATGTTTGGTTCTTTCTTTCTTTAATTTTTTTAATGTTAGATTGTTTTCTTTGTTTAGGAGATGGTCAAATTCGTGAGCATGTTATCTGAAATTTTTAAGGACTTTGTTTTTGGATTTGCACTTAATGTCTGGCCCCCATTTATTTATTAAGGATTAGGAAAGATCTAAGGGCAGTGAGTTGCCCTGTCATAGTCAAACATGGCTTTACCTCTAATGCGACATGTTCTTCCTCTGGTCAAACTCTCTCTCTCTCTCTCTCGATAAGAATTAGTCAACCAACCAAAAACTAAAGTATGAACCCCTCTCTCTCTCTCTCTCTTTTCACTCACACACACACATATGAGGAGTTACTGATGAATTTGGATTACTACCCAAAAAAATGATGAATTTAGGCAAAATATGGAATACATGTTGAGGGGCATCGTTTCATCCTCACCCAAGGTTGTCCATCGTTTCATCCTCACCCAAGGTTGTCCATGTGCAAGTGTGGGTACATTGATAAGGTTAATATATTTTATGTTAGGGAAAAGGTCATGTTAGCCGACTAAGCTGATCGAATATTATAAGTTCAATAGCGTAAATTGAATTTGGACCGATCTGATGGTTAAACATGTGTATTTTGTATTTGAATTATGATCTTTTTTTTTGTAATTTTTTTGAAATTTGGGACGTCCACTCTTCACATCAATGCATACTTACTAAAAATATTAAAAAATTATTCATAAGAAATAAACTAACTAAAATAGATATGTTACTTTCATAAGTGTTTTGGTTGATTTATTTTTACTCTTTTTTTATATCTTTATTAGGTTCACCTATTTTTAAAAAGTAAATGTTCAAAATTTCAAATGAATTTAATTTATAATAAATTAATAAATTAAAATTAAAATACAAAATATAGCCGTGACTCTTAGATTGACGCATATCCAATTTAGGCCATTGAACGTCAACTGTGGTGGTCGTTAGCAGGCTGACATCATACTCTTGTTTTATGTTATAGTGCTCGTGATAAGTAAAGAAATGTTGCAAGTAAATATAGTGCTGCCTAGATTCTTGAATGTTAACGATGTTTAAATATAGGGAAAATATCTCCATATCCTTTAATTTTAAGTTTTATTTATTGATAAACCTAAAGTTTCAAAAGATATCTTCTAACCCCTTGGTCATTTTAAACCTATTTTTTAACCTAAATGAATGTGATAAAGACATGCTCTTTTTAAACTCAATCATTTCTCTCTCTTCACTTATATACCCCAAACTTCTCTATTTTTCTCTCTTTCTGCGTCACTCACTCTCTCTCTCCTTCTGTATTTCTCCAAACACCTATTTCTCTCCTCCTGTAACCTCTCACTACCATGAAGCCCTTCTCTCTCTCTAGAGGCGGCCATGGCCATGGACACCCCTGTAAATGGCAAAAACCGGCGAACCCCAACATCTAAAGACCAGAAAAGCCTAATCTTTCCATCATCTATTCTACCATTTCCTTCCACGCTAGCAAACCCTGCCCCTCGAAGATCTGCGAGAAAGCTAGGGTTCAATCCAGATATTTTGTCGTACAATGCACAGTGAATTACAATGATTCATTTGAGATGCTCAAACCTTCTAAAAATGGGAGTTGAGAAACACAATGCCCAATCAAAATGCAACTTAAAACAAGAAAAATGAACAAAATTCGCTAAAATCCAATAGCCATCAAGTTGAGAAAAAGGGAAACATGGGGCTTAAAAAATAATGTTTTATAATAAGATTGTCTACAATGGTGCTGAATTCTCAGTTGGTGATGATGCTTATGTGAAGAGGAGAGAATGCAAGCTCTGATGGTGAGGATCCAGAGGTCGAGGAATGTAGGGTTTATTTCAAGTCAGGGAGAGCTGAGATGATCAAGTGTGATGAATGTTTAGGTGGTTTTCATCTCAAGCGTCTCGAGCCTCTATTGAAGGAGGTACTAGAAGCGGATTGGGTTTGTGGGATTTGTGAAGCTTGTAAAAATGAGGGGAGAGAGATGGTAAAAGTGGAGAGAGAGAGAGCAGGAAGAAAGAGAGTGAGGGTCGAGAGATGGAAAAGATAGGGAGAGAGAAAAAGGGATATAAAAGTTTGGGAGGATGGCTTTTAGAAAAGGTATATCTTTTTAAATTTATTTGACTTAAAAAAAAGAGGCGTAAATTAGCTCAAGAGAGTTAAAAGAAATAAAATTTATAATTTTTACGCTCCAATATATCTTTTATAATTTGAGTGTATTATGAAATGAAACTTAAAAATATAAAATATAGAGATATTTTCCCTTAAATGTAATTCTTAAGATAGAATATTGCACGAAAAGTATTTATGGAATTTGTCGTATGAAATGGTGAAATGTGTACATGGAAAATTGAGGGAAGCGCTTTAATGCCATGAGAGGCCATGTGAGGTGTGGGGCCATGCCATTTAAGTCTTTTTGTTTACTACTATCATGCATAAGAAGGAACTCATGAGCAACCTCTAACTCCATTCTAGAGAGAGAGAGAGAGAGAGAGAGGGGGACACGTATTTGAACTCATTGGTCATGTGTAACGTCCAATTCGATAGGCGAAGAGAGAGAGTGTGTTAATCTAGAGAGAGAGTGTGTGTGTGTGTTAATCTAGAGAGAGAAAGAGAGCTTCATTGAATTAATTGGTTATGTCCAACCTATAATTCGATAGTGAGGAGAGGGAAGCGAGAGTGAGAAATCATTGATCGTTTGCAAGCTATCATTTAATTCGGGAGAGAGAGAGAGGCACTCATGTACCATTGTTATGAGTGGATTGACCACCTGGTTGAGGGCTTTTTTAATTTCTTAATCTTGTAAAAACTGATCTAAATCCTCGTCACACTGAATGGACTTTATTTTAAAATAAGGAAAAAAAAAAGAAGAATAAATATAATATTATAGGAATATAAAATATATTAAAAATTTGTCCAACTTTATTTTAGTTAGTTGAAACGATTAAAATCAAATAATATGACAGGTCAAAATTAATCAAACGTTGATTTTGATAAGTTTTCAATCAATTTTTTTTTTATTTTGGACTAGACCAACCTATACAGATGTTGGTGATCCAACCGGTTAGACCACCTGTTCAATTATAGCTATGTTCAATGTTTCATAAAATTTATTTGTCATGAGCATGACTTATATAATTCAAATTAAGGGAGAGAGATTCATAATAAAATAAAAAAAAGGACCACCAAACATTCAATGGGAGAAAGAGTAGCCTAGGGGGGGAGAAAATAAGTTCATTGAGTATGTGCAACCCATAATTTTATTGGATATAGAGAGAGTCACTCCAAATCTTGGACTTGATTATATTTAGGAAATGTATTTAATTTATGGAAAATGGTTTGATAGGGCTGCAGCTCTATCAAAACAAGTAAAGCCTCACCTCATAACTCATCGAAAATTGGAATTCAAGCATTAAAAAACTTGGTATCAATCATCTTTGCTTGAACAATATGCTTGTGAGAAAAAATACGATTTCAAACTCTAAAAATACATGTTATAACAAATTCTCTATATCATCCATTTCACCCTAAAAATAAGCGTTTATATATCCAGAAGATCCGTGCCATTTTTGAGTTTTGAATTTCATTACCGGTATTGGAAATTAATTTTAGAGCCATCATGGAGATTTTTGTTGTCGAAAGTGCTTTTCGGATGAGGATGTAAAATGAGGGTTTATTTTGTTTTGATTAAAGCCTAGGCCTTATAGA